TTATCTTAAAAATATTTTCTGGCAAAACTGAGATGAGCATTCATGTTCTTTTTGCTCAGCAGTGGTTTGGTGGAGTCATGAACACTCGCTTTAACTGAGACAAGTGAGGCCTGCTGTTCTTTCGATGTTGTTGTGGGGTCTTTTGCAACCTTTTCGATGAGTCGTTGTTGACCTCTTGGGTAAATTTTTGGTCGACCAGCCACTCCTGGGAAGGTTCTCCACACTTGTATGTTTTTGCCATTTGGTGATAATGACTTTCACTGTGGTTCGCTGCAGTCCCAAAGCTTTAGAAACAGCTTTTGTAACCTTTTCTATATTGGTAGAGCTCAAGTATTTTCTTTCTCATTTGTTATTTAATTTCTGTGCATCTCGGCATAATGTCTAGCTTTTGAGGATCTTTTAGTCTAATTCACTTTGTCAGGCAGGTCCGGTAATTGACTTCTTGATTGCAAATAGGTGTGGCAGTAATCAGGCCTGGGAGAAATTGAACCTAGGTGCGATAAACCAGAGTTATGTGTTTTTACACAGTTTGATGGTCTCTACCTATTTGGTGAGTTCTGCACACTGTGCTCCTCAGCGTGTGCTGACCATGCTACATTGCCATTATGTTCCCTACCACTTTGTGACTTTGTGAGTTACTGTTATTCACAATTGCTTCTACAGTGTCATTATACTACTAACATATGCCATGGAATATTTAGTAGTTAGGAAATTTCATAAATTGACTTGCACAAGCGTCAAACTGTAGTGATAACAGCACTGTTCCAGCCTCTTCATATGTGCATTACTCCACCTTATGGAGAACTAAACTTAGTTTCACAAATACTACTGCTAATGAAACATTTATTTTTTATAATTTTTTTAGTGCTAGAATGTAATTGTTTAGATTAAAAGTTTATTTATAACAATGTGTATTGATTATTTCAGAAATGGGACTTCCAGGGCATCAGCACCCTTCAGTTCTGACTGACACTTAAGGCTTTATTTATCTATATTGAAGAATGAATTGAAACAACATAATTTCAAACAAAATCCAACTAAAATGACATTCGTTTTCAGTGCGTTTTGGCAGTTGGAAACAGCAGTGTCCTAAAATTACACTCTTAATATCAGTTAAATGTGCAATATTACTAATATCTAATGGAAATAATAGGTCACAATCATCTGTTTTTCCCCAAAACTAGATTAATTTAACATTTATTGCAGTGCTAAGTTTCTGGCTACATATTTAAATATTAAATGCTATACAAAAATTTGTTCAATGTTTTTTAGACTAAAATGTTCATCGTCTTCATAGTGTTGTTTGTTAAACGTTAATGTTCAATAAATGACATTTGAAATAAATTAGTAATATTCAATAAAAGTACAATGTACTGCAAAATGTTGCATAGTTGACATAACATTGTTCCACCACCAGAGATTTAGGGCAAACAGGGTAACTCTCCTTATTTTTTGAAAGAGACATCACTTTTCTCAGAGTGGACATTTTAAATACTGCTAAATCAAGAAATCCTGACATGGTGTGACTTTATACACATTTAGGCAAAACAACTTTTTCTACAAATACATACAATAGTTTAGGTTTCCTGTGAAATTAGCAATTGCTCTTTAAAAAAGAAAAACCTTTGGAGGATTATAAAAGCACAAACACATTTTTTATTTTTTTATTTTTTTTGTCAGAAAAACTATTAGAGCAACTAAACTATTAAAGCATCAGGACATTCTCAGCAGACATTCTATATTTCTCATTTGATAATTTAGTTGATCGAGAGAGAAAATATGCCACTAGATTTTCAATATACTATTGGGTTAAAAAAGCAGTTGGGCACAGAAATGATGAGTTGGTTGTTTTGCTGAGGGATCTTGTGGTAATTTAAAAATGAAATTGTTGGGCGGTGCAGCGACTCTTGTGATAAGAGAGTAATGAAACTCAATATGGCACTCCTGAAAACGTTCAGAAAGCAGTTGGATAGACTATGGGATTTTCACTCTGAAACAAATGAAGTAGAAAATGAAAGCTGACATGCTAGCACTGATTTCAATATTTAATTTCACTTTTCATAAGTCAACTCGCCTGCTGCTGTCTCTAAAACCAGGCATTCTGACAGTGTTTACATTAGGCCACCAAAGTGTCTTGTGAAGACATGAACATCAAACTGTGAATCCCCTATATACTGCGCTGTTCTCTTACGGATGTAGATTAGTTTTTAATCTTAATATTCAAAACATAACTATATGTTTTTTTCCCTAATAGTATCAACCACAAACAAAGACACAATATACAACATTGATTTTAAAAGATTGTCATCTTTGGCTGAAATACCAAGCGGTTACAAGGAAATTCATAATCTATTTTATTAACATTTTATTTAATCAGGTCAGACTAGTTTGAAATGAGTCAGTGGGCTCCAAATTTATCCCTCAACCTTCAAATGACCATATAACCGAACAACACCATGCAGAGTTGCCCTTTCTCTGCTCAGTAAGACAGACAAAGGGTTGTCAAAAACACAACCACTTTCTGTTAACGGACCACTTGCTGCCTAGAGAATGAGCTGATGAACTGCCACGACAGAGTGAAGATGTCAATCAATTTATCACACTGTGGCAGAGGCCAGAGACCAAAGCTAATCCCTCTTCAGACCAGCCAATTATAATTCACTTCTCATGTTTAATGGTGTTTAATTTAACATGACACTACAGTACAATATAATTCTCATGGCATCTGTTTTCAAAGTGTAAATCACAGATCTTATTGTAAACAATTCATTCTTGAGTAAGAATGTTTTGATCAATATTATATAACAAAGAATTCTGGCCCAGATTTGGCATAAAGCTGGCACAGCAGGCATTCGTCTGGCACTGGCATGCAGCATGTGGGCCAAACATGGCACTCAAGACTTGGGCCAGATATCAAATGTAGTATTTGGCCCAAATGTTGAAATGCTTTTGTGGGCCACATAAGTTTAGCCTATCTTGACCAACTTTTCCAATAAATTTAAATTATTTTTGAGCAAAGAAAAAATTATATCAATCAGGTCGCTTCAAGAAAAAGCTCAGCCATAAAGCAAATGCTTCATGGGTTTATAAAAAACATTGCAGTCGTGAAACACCAACATATCTGGCCCAGTTCAAGCCCAGTTATGGGTTATTATTTTGGCTGAGACTTGGCCCAGATATGGTCCATGTTTGCTACTTGTATGGAAGCCAGACCTGGTCCAGTCATGTACCGTAATTCACTGCGGCATGTGGGCCAAGCAAAAGATAATGATGTGGGCCATGTCTGGGCCAGAGAAATTTTGCTATAGGGGTGGTTTAGGTTTTTTCAACACAAAAAATATAGCATGACATATAGTAAACCACTGCCACTGCCATATCAACCTGCAGCCCCAAGACCAGTTACTAACTGAAGCTTAGCAGGGCTGAGCATGGCTGTACCTGGATGGGAGACCACAAGGTACAACTAGGTTGCTATTGGAAGTGGTGTTAGTGAGGCCAGCAGGGAGCGCTCAACCTGCAGTCTGTGCGAGTCCAAATGCCCCAGTAAAGTAAAGGAGATACTATATTGTCAGTGAGCTGAAGCAACGAATCTCTCTAAATTGAGTTGGTTTACATTTTTAAGGCAGCTGATGAAATTGAGTTTGTAAGTTTAACTAATGTGAAACATCTTACAGTGTGGATTCTGCACACTGGAATTGGTGTAGAGAGACCCCTGCTCCTGATTGTTAAGCGCTTTGGGTGTATGGCCATGCAATAAAAAATACACATTACATTTCATTCTGAAAGAGTTTCAATGTTTCTCTGTGGAAAGAGGAGAACCTTCCAGAAAAACAACCACCTACATCACCAGATTAAAGCGACTTCTCAGTAAAATGCAAATGACAGCCTACCTGAAGTTTGCCAAAAGACACTTAATGGATTATCAGATCATGAGAAACAAAATTCTCAAGGGAAAGATGAATGCACAAGACATCTATAATGAAAAACTACTCCAGAGGGCTCTGGACCTCAGACTGGAACAAAGGTTCATTTTTCAACAGGACTACAACTTAAGCACACAGCCAAGATAACAAATGAGTGTCAAACTAAAAACAGTGTATAGCAAGCTTGTAGCATCATATTAAAAAAAAAGAAACAAAAACTTTTAGATGTAACGTGTGCCAAAGATGTTTCAACAAAGTATTAAGCAAAGGTTGTGTATACTTAGGTAGGGCTGAGTTTGGTAAATCTTTGAGAAGGGTCTGGCTGCAGACTCAGTGCAAATGCAATCTGAGCTGCATGCAGTGCTTTTGAATAGGCTCACCTCTAACCCTACCAATCACCATGACGTTGCTAGCTCCACTGAGTGCATTGTGTCTGACATCGCATCTCTGAGAGATGTAATCTCAGCTTGCATCATAAAAGCTGGATCCAGATACTACTGAAAACTTTAGATACCTCGATTGACTAATCCCTTTTATTTAACACCAGTTCTTAAATAATACTTTTTCCATACTGATTATATAAACTTTTGAAAAAAAATTACAATGCATATTATCCAAGAGAAACTTCTGTTTTTTTTTTCCTCAGGCTCATCTCCTGAGTAACTATACAAAGGAATAAAAAACTAAATAGCAAAATGTAATCAATAATGCATTAGTGTTATTATATGCAAGGCTCTTAAGTAAACGCTTAAATCTTTAAATCACTCAGCAGTTTTTTTTTTTTTTTTTTTTTAAGAACAAGTAGTCTTTCTGCCTTTCCCAGAAACAAACAAGCCCACTCCTGACTGCTAATGTGCAGTGAAAAATGTACACTCTGAGGGTGTGCATGATGTTTGCGAGATGCATTGTTGTTAAATCAGAAAGTATTTGAAGTGTCCTTCATGTCCTATCACCAACTTACTAGACTCACTGAGGAC